TGGGTAGAGGTCCGCAAGTGGTAGGGCAGGGCCGAGGCGCGCCGGCAGGGACGGAACGGCAGCAGCGGCCCCTGCTGTCGGCGGCGGCGGCGGCTGCAGTCGGCGGCTGCGGCCCCGGCAGCGGCGGCAGCGGCTGCTGCTGTCGGCGGCTGCGGCGGCTGCGGCCCCGGCTGTGGCGGCGGCGGCTGTTGTGTCAAAGTTATATTTAAGATATATCCTGCTTGCTGTAGTTACTGTAGTTATTGTTCTTTGCTGTTGGTGGTGCACCTCTTGCTTGTGTTTCTCGACTATATCTTGTATGCTTTGCTTTAGTGAAGCCAAACTTGTTTGGTCAATTTCTATCGACACTCCCTTGGCCTTGACCTCGACAATAGCTTGGCCTAGGCTACTAAGCCTAGGCCCTCCTTAAATCCGGTTACCAGTTAAGATCGCATCGTAACATGGTATAGAGCCAGTCGATTCTCACATGGGCCCACCGCCCCGCGCTCCGTTAGCCCGTCACCCCGTGCTCCGTCGCCCCATTCGTATCGTAACGCGGCTCCCCACGGGCCCCATTCTCGCGCTAGCCTAAGGACCCCCCGCGGGCCCCGTTCTCGCGCTAGCTAAAGGCCCGCGCGGGCCCCGTTCTCGCGCTAGTTAAGGGCCCGTGCGGGCCCCGTTCTCGCGCTAGTTAAGGGCCCGCGCGGGCCCCGATCTTGTGCTAGTTAAGGGCCCCCTGCGGGCCCCGTTCTTGCGCTAGTTAAGGACCCCCGCGGGCCCTCGTTCTCGTTGATCCGGACCCGCGCGGGCCCCGCCGTCGCGTCGCGCCACCCGTTACGTCCCCCCGTTCCGCTCGCCGCAACCCGCACCCTGCCCGTCGCCTGTACGCCACCCGCACCCCACCCGTCGCCCGTACGCCACTCGAACCCCGCCCTGCTTCCCGTCGCCCCGGAGCACCGTAGCCCGCTGCCACTCTGCCCGTCGCATTACCCGCGCCCCATGCCCGTCACCCCCCCAGTCGCGGCTGTTCGCGTGTGCAGCGGCGGTCGCTGTGGGGGGGAGAGGGAAAAGGGGAAGGGAGTGGCAGCGGAACGCTGTGGGGGGGAGAGGGAAAGGGGGAAGGGAGTGGCGGCGGAATGCTGTGGGGGAGAGAGGAAAAGGGGGAAGGGAGTGGCGGCGGAAAACCAGCGATCACCGCCAGAGCACCGGCGATCGCACCAGCGCTTGCGCGCCTCCTACCGTCAGATCCCGCCCAGCCTGTAGCCCTTCTCCAGCTCGTCCCACCCGTCGCGCCCCATCAGCACCAGGCACCAGGCACCAGGGCCAGCCGCCAGCACCAGCACCAGCACCAGGGCCAGCCGCCAGCACCAGCACCAGCACCAGGGCCAGCCGCCAGCACCAGCACCAGCTCCAGGGCCAGCCGCCAGCACCAGCACCAGCTCCAGGGCCAGCCGCCAGCACCAGCACCAGCTCCAGGGCCAGCCGCCAGCACCAGCACCAGCTCCAGGGCCAGCCGCCAGCACCAGCACCAGCACCAGGGCCAGCCGCCAGCACCAGCACCAGCTCCAGGGCCAGCCGCCAGCACCAGCAACAGCTCCAGGGCCAGCCGCCAGCACCAGCACCAGCACCAGGGCCAGCCGCCAGCACCAGCACCAGCACCAGGGCCAGCCGCCAGCACCAGCACCAGCTCCAGGGCCAGCCGCCAGCACCAGCTCCAGGGCCAGCCGCCAGCACCAGCACCAGCTCCAGGGCCAGCCGCCAGCACCAGCACCAGCTCCAGGGCCAGCCGCCAGCACCAGCACCAGCTCCAGGGCCAGCCGCCAGCACCAGCACCAGCACCAGGGCCAGCCGCCAGCACCAGCACCAGCTCCAGGGCCAGCCGCCAGCACCAGCACCAGCACCAGGGCCAGCCGCCAGCACCAACACCAGCTCCAGGGCCAGCCGCCAGCACCAGCACCAGCTCCAGGGCCAGCCGCCAGCACGAGACCCCGCCAGCAGAGAACCCCGCCAGCAGAGAACCCCACCAGCAGAGAACCCCGCCAGCAGAGAACCCCGCCAGCAGAGAACCCCACCAGCAGAGAACCCCGCCAGCAGAGAACCCCGCCAGCAGAGAACCCCGCCAGCAGAGCACCACCCTCTGCCCTGCCTCTCCCCTCCCGCGGCTGCTACTGTGGGGGGTAGGTGGCGGGAGCGGGGGGGTGGGAGGGCTGGCTGCAGTGTGAAGGACAGGGCAGAGACAACTGTGGGTTGGGCAGGGGTGTGGAGGAAGGAAGGGAGGGAGGGGGTGCGGTTCCAGGGGGTGGCTGAAATGGGGGGTGAGGTTGAAGGAGGGTGGTTGATTGGGGGTGGGGATGTGGGGGTTAGTAAGAGGGGACGCTGCGGCCACCCCCCCACCTCCTCTCCTCATCCCCCACTCAACCCCCCTTTCATAAAAGGGGGTTAGTAAGAGGGGACGCCGCGGCCACCCCCCCACCTCCTCTCCTCATCCCTCACTCACCTCCTCCTGTGTTCTCATCTCCTCTCCTCTCCTCTCTCCCTCTCGCCGCCTCCCCTCACGTACCCCTCTGCCGTCTCCCACTGCGCCAGCTATACCCGTTCAGGGGGTGTTGACTACTCTAGTTCCTACTGCAAGCAGGCTAAGGGGGTGTGTCAAAGTTATATTTAAGATATATCCTGCTTGCTGTAGTTACTGTAGTTATTGTTCTTTGCTGTTGGTGGTGCACCTCTTGCTTGTGTTTCTCGACTATATCTTGTATGCTTTGCTTTAGTGAAGCCAAACTTGTTTGGTCAATTTCTATCGACACTCCCTTGGCCTTGACCTCGACAATAGCTTGGCCTAGGCTACTAAGCCTAGGCCCTCCTTAAATCCGGTTACCAGTTAAGATCGCATCGTAACATGTTGCTGTTGGCGGTTGCTGTGGCCGCGGCCCCGGTGGTGGCGGCTCCCGCTGCAGGGGCAGCGACGGCGGGGCGGCAGGTCCGTGAGGGAGCCGAGTAGGGGCCGCTAAGGGCGGTGAAGGGGCCGCGAAGGGGCCGTGAGGGGCCGCGAAGGGTGGCGACGGGGCCGAGAAGGGGCCGCCAGGGGCCGCGAAGGGCGGCGACGGGGCCGTGAAGGGCGGCGACAGGGCCGCGAAGGGCGGCGACGGGGCCGTGAAGGGGCCGCGAGGGGCCGCGAAGGGGCCGCGAGGGGCGGTAAGGGGCCGCGAAGGGCCGTGAGAGGGGTCGCGAAGGGCGGCGGAGGGGCCGCGAGGGAGCCGCGAAGGGGCCGCGAAGGGCCGTGAGAGGGGCCGCGAGGGGCCTCGAAGGGCGGCGACGAGGCTTGAAGGGGCCGCGAAGGGCCGTGAGAGGGGCCGTGAGGGGCCGTGAGAGGGGCCGCTACGGGGCCGTAAGAGGGCGCGACGGGCCGCTAAGGGCAGGGGACGCGACGGGAGGGTAGGCACGCGCGGCGCGACTCGGGCAGGAGCGAAGCGCGCTCCGGGCAGGAAAAAAAAAATCGATTTTCAGTGGTGGGCCCTAGGAACGTTCCCACTAGGGAACCTGCTCTATACCATGTGATAATTACGAGGGAATGATTGACTAGGGGAAAGATTGGGTACAAGTACAAACCCTAGAAATGTGTTGTACCCCATATGTGCTACCCCACTATAGCCTACATAGGCTAAGTCATATAAGTCTGACACCTGCATGTGAACTGGCCTTTTGGCCTTTGAACCTGTGCTCGGAATGTGTGGTGACGTTGTGATCCACCCTGAGCTTGCTTTGCTTTGCTTTGCTTGACTGGTCTTGTGACCCCTTGTTCTCCCCGACTTTGCCTATGGGGTTGTGTCAAACTTATATGATATATTCTATCTAGGCTGTAGTGGGGTAGACACTATAGGGTACAACACTTCTAGGTTCCTACTTGTACCCACTTGTTTCCTAGTCATTTCATTCATGTTTCTTCATACTCTGATCTCATTTCCCCGATACTGAAGGCCTAGAGTGGCGTTTTTTTTTACACATATGTTTTTCAACAGGCTCAGACTAGCCATTATGCGGTCGAAGTGCCGTCAGACTAAATTAAAATATATATATATATATATATATATATATATATGTTGGTCAGAATCAAGGAGGCGTTTTTTTAAACGTAAGCCCTGACCTAAACAATATTTTTTTAGATGCCTACGAAATTCTCCTAACATTGCTTCCTTGAATTCACTCTCACTCTAATTTTCAATTGAGTTTTTTTTAGCCGCCTAGAAAAATTTGTGAATTGAAAATGATTTTTTAGTACTGATTCCTTGCAAGTGCCAAGTCATTCACACGTAATGATTCCTTGCAATCTCTTCCTCCTGCATCTACCGTCATCGCCCGGATAGTAGACAGTGTTGAATAGTAGACAGGGGTTGTCTATTATCCGTGTGTCTCTTATAAACATGCTAGCCTCATTATAAGACACCTATTTGTGTGTACGGGTTATGCAAGTGTAGGGGTTAGGGGCAATTGCATAACGAGGGGGTATCTTCTGAACGGATCTTTGTCCATTTATAAGACTTATAAGATACCCTAAACCGTCCCAAATACAAGACAACCCAAGCATTTTTGCTCGTGTACGAGATAAGACATATATGTCTTATATCCGGGCGATGACGGTAATACAGTAGTTTCAGCAGTCTGACGGACGCCATCCATCTACGGAGGAACGTAAACGTCCCCCCAGCTTTTTGAGGTTTGATTATCATAAGACCCTTTGGTCTTATATACGGGGGTTTACCATATACATGTGCATTGACTTGACACTAAACGTGATTAGCATGTAAATCTCCGACTCACAACAAATATATTCCAGGCGCAAGCTGAAAAGTAGCCACAAAATCCAGACCTTCACTAGCATACTAATGGATTAATGCAATCTCTCAACACATACGGTATATTTGAAGATCACCCCGAGTATACTATTCCAGACTTGGGGTCTCATTACCCCAAGTCCACCCACCCACAACTATCGATACGGAACCGCCACGTCAAAACTCTACGCTTCACATCCCGAACACCAGGAGCAAGATGGCGGCAACAGCAGCAGTAGAGTGGTCAATGGAAGCATCAATGCGCGTGCGAGGGCCGGATGCCGATCGTGCCTGCGGTGCTGGCCATGCTGTTTCCTTTGTGTCCCACATTGGTGCGTCAGTCACCGGTGCTGGCCATGCTGCATCCTCTGTGAGCGCCGACACTGGGATGTGGGCACAGACATAGATTGGAACGTTAAATCAGACTCTGTGAAGCACACCTATTCCACCAACCACCTGTTGTTGGAAAGTTTGATTGGAGCCGGTGTGGCATCGTTCTTATGCGTGCGTGTGTGTGTGGGCAGCCACTGCAGCATGGAGACTTACAAGCAAGGGGGGTGCAGGAGGAGCAGAAGGAGAAGCAGAGGCGGCAGAAGCCAGTGGTGTTGCTCTGCTTCACCAGGCACTTGCTGCCGTTTGCAGGGCAGGTCAGCCCCGTGCCTGACACGTTCCTGGGGGTGAGTGTTGGATGAAAAGGATTGGAGAATTGAGGAAAAAAATCACACTCATGGGCAGAAATTGACTTGAAACTAGAGTGCAATAAGAAAATACATGCAATTACCAGGCTAGTTTGAGGTATTGCTGTGAGCATTCGGTCCAATACCGATTGCCATGTGAATGCGGAGTTAAATGGTTACTGGCTTACATACAAAACTGAATCTAGAACTCTACGTGAGAGGCAGTTTGGGCTTGTGAAGCATGTGGCACAGATGAGTGGAAGGAGAAAAGAGGCCAGCCAACTCAACACCACTATGCTGTCATTGAGTTCGAATCCAGGGGGGAAAAATAGGAGGATTCCCGATGCAAGTGATAGTGAGACCCTGGCAGGAAGGATGGAAGTTGTAAGAGCAGGGCGAGGAGAGCAGTCACCTTAGGCTTGTGGTGGATGGGGAACGGTTGTGCTACTCACAGGTATGATAGATCGGTAAGTCCGCCCAGGCTAGCAGGTATGACGCCACTCAGAGTGTTGCCTCCAAGCCCCCTGCCACGCCATGCCATGCCATGCCACACGTGTATGCCAGCAACCAGAGTGCATCAGCTGTTTGCAACAATGTCTGCAGTGATCCTTAGTGAATTTCACATGGTGGAATGCAGAAAAAAGTGCTACCTCGGCTAATGCTGTCAGAGGTGCTGGGCCCAGACAAGGTGTTTCTCAAGGTAGCGTTTGTGCTTCCTCAAACATCCCCTCAACAGCACCGCTTCCTTATTCTCAAAGAGAGATGGAGCAAGGCTCACAGTCGGTAGAGCAATGCAAGGCTCACAGTTTCCACAGCGATGTAAGGCGGGTGATGGAGTCAGGGAGGGAGCCACTGAGCTGGTTGTCGCTGACGTCGCTGGGGATTGAGTGGGGCATGGTGGTAGTGGGCGGTTGTGGGAAGGGTAAAGAGGGGACATGGTGGATGGGCGCAGGCGAGGGGAATGAGGATCCAAGGGAAAGTGTAACTTCGCTAAATATTCTAGTGACTTCCAGCCACTCAGAACTATGCGATGCTAGGTATGTGGCTGCTAGTTCAGATGTGGCTCGTGGCTGCTAGATCAGATCTGTCTTTGTGAAAATGGGGGAGTAAACATGAAGGAAATCCATAGGGCACATGAAGGGCTGACATAGATGAGCATCGGTTGAGAAGGATAAGAACAAGGCAGTGAGCTCACAGTATTTCAAGGTAAGGGTATTTCCACAAAGCAAAGTTAGGTAGCGAGCCAGAGAATGCATTGCCTTGCAGCTCACTGTGTGGAGGCATGGGTTGCATGGGATGGGGATGAGGGGATGACCAGCAGTGTGTAGGAAAGGGAATGTTTACGATTGCACATAAATAATCTGCATCGCTGTCGTTCTGATGGAAATCAATCAAGAGACAACTTGAGCACACGCCCTTGCCTCCCTCGTTCCTTCCATACCGGGACCAAGCAACTTCAAGGTGCGCTTACAGAGTAACGAAATCGGTGGAAACGAGGGCAGAAGGAAGGGGACCTTGAAGCTGGTTGTGAGCCATGGAACTGGAGAGGTTGAATGGGCGATGGTGGAAGGGAGTGAGATGATGGTAACATGCATGCACTGAATGTCCGAGAAGGGAATCGCTGTAGTGAGGAGTGAGCATTTAGTGACCCAAGGGCCATGGCATGATGCAAGGCACATGATTCATGTGCACTGCATGCCGCATAAACTTCCACCTCCGTCTCCGTGCTGCCTGCACCATCCCATAGCCAGGAGCATGCCATCCCGCTTGCATGCTCGGCTCTCTTCCATGCTAAAAGGGGTAATGTGGCATGGCACAGCATGGCACGGCAAAGCATGGGACGGCACAGCATGGCAAGACAAGGCACGGCATAGCAAGACAAGGCACGGCATGGCAAGACAAGGCATGGAATGATAACGCTGAGGGAGGAGGTGGCTCAGGCTAATGTTCTTCGACTCTGGAACAAGGCATCAAAAACATGACACAAAAGATAGAACAATGCGATGTCAATCACCCAAGACTTACAAATGCCCCCCCCAATTGAGGGTAGAAGGCATGGAGGTGAGCTGATTGTGGGAGAGGTCTCTGCACGCAGTGACGGCAGGCAGAGGCGAGGGGATGTGGAGGGGAGCGGATGTGGAGGGGAGGGGACGTGGAGGGGAGGGGACGTGGAGGGGAGGGGATGTGGAGGGGAGGGGACGTGCAGGGGAGGGGATGTGGAGGGGAGGGGATGTGGAGGAGATGTGAAAAATCACGGTGAGATAGGTGCGAGAATGCTTCTTTGCCACACTCCAGGGGGGTGTGCGATGTGGTACAGAGCTCTTGCACTGGAGGAACATGAGTCAGGGCTGTGAAACATACGGCAATGTCATGCCCGAGTGTAGCCTTGGTGGAATATCAGAAGCTTTACAAAATATGGAAGCACGATAGTACGGCAGAATGCCAATCTTGGGCTGTTGGGAACGCAGCGCAACGCAACGCAACCTAACGATTACATGCTTAATCAAAAGGGCGTTTATGCATTGCTGAGGTAACAATAGGCGGATCTCAAGGGGCGTCTGCTTGAAGTTGCCACACGGAGATGAGAAAGCATGGTGAGAGAGAGACTGCCCAAGAGCCTCCAGCACCTCAATCTGTTTGGTGGAGTTGAGACTCAGCATGCAATGCAAGGTGCCACATGGAGGTGCATTGCAATCCAAACCACGCCATACGTGAGCTCATGCCAGGCGTGGCGGGCCTGGGAGACTCACAAGTGAAAGGATGTGCGAGGATGTCAGGAATGGCGCCGGTGAGATTGTTAAAGCCAAGCAACCTGTGTGGGAATCAAAGGGGGAGATGTGATGTGATGTGATGTGATGTGATGTGATGTGATGTGATGTGATGTGATGTGAGGGGCTTACAGGGCATGCAATCTAGGTAGCTCGCTGATGCCAGCGGGAATGCTCCCTGAGATGTTGTTCCCGTAGAGGTCCCTGGTGGGGCCATGGCGAGGAGGGGAGGGAGGAGGGGGAATGGCCACAGGAACAACCACTCTCACTGAGTGAACCGCTTTCACGGGAAGAAGTGTTTTCACAGAAAGAACCACTTTCACCAGACGAACCGCTTTAACTGGGTGAATTGCAATCACTGGATGAACCGTGATCATGGAATGAACTGCCTGTGCAAGAGCTCTATTCGGAATCTATTATTCAGCTGGATCTGACACCTTGGTGCTCGCAACCTGGTGCTCACAACCTGGTGCTCACAACCTGGTGCTCACAACCTGGTGCTTTGGCGTATACGACCACTGCATTTCTAATGGGGTTCCCATGGACGGACGGGGAAGGAGAGGAAGGAAGGGGAGAGAGGAAGGAAGGGGAGAGAGGAAGTGAGGGGAGAGAGGAAGGGGAGAGAGGATGGGAAGGGGAGAGAGGATGGTAAGGGGAGAGAGGATGGGAAGGGGAGAGAGGATAGGAAATGGAGAGAGGATGGGAAGGGGAGAGAGGATGGGAAGGGGGGAGAGGATGGTAAGGGGAGAGAGGAAGGAAGAGGAGAGGAAATGGGAAAGGGAGAGAGGAAGGAAGAGGAGAGAGGATGAGAAGGGGAGGCGTACAAGATGGTGAGGGCGGTGAGGGCGGAGATGGTGGAGGGGATAGAGCCAGTGAAGCCATTCAGACCGGCCCGCCTGGAGGTGCAAGGGGAGGGGCGAGAGGAGGGGAGGGGTGAGAGGAGGGGAGGGGCGCATGCATTGGCAGCTGGAGGGCAACAGAACGGGGCTGAGCGGAGTGGCCCATCAGGCAATGTAAGGAACGGATGGCTTTGGATGGTGAGGCGAGCAGCAGCAGGTGTCAAACCAAGCTGATGTGTTGTGGACATGGCGGATGGCTCACTCACAGCGTTTCCAGCCTTGTGAGAGCAATCCATTTGGTGGGGAAAGGTGCAGAGCGGTGGACGTGTAACTTTCCAGTGACGTCTCTGCAGGGCAGACAAGGGCAGGAAGGTAGAGGAGTCACGGGGCACTCCAGTTGGTGGAGAGGCACGGCAGGGGGAGCGTTGCAAGTGGCATTAGCGTACATCTGAATCTCTCTTTCTAGCCAATGTTCCACCCCTCTAGCCATTGATCAAACCCCCTAACCATCGTTCATCCCCCTAACCACATGTGGACCAATGCAGGGCAGAATGGCGCAGGGCAGCACAGGGAACGCCGTCGAACACCGTCGATTCAATGCGGCACAGACCCGTCAGGGTGCGAGCTTGAGGCGATTTCATTGGCATCGCTCCAGCAGCAAGCTATGGAAGCAGAGAGTGAGAGCGCAAGTGGCATGGCAAGGCTGTAGCGAATCACAGGTGGTGCAGGGAGAGAGAGGAAGTGGAACCCGCAGAGCGGACGTGCGCTGGCCTCTTTATCCCAAGTGAAGCACGGGCAAGGTGCAACAGGAAGCGGTGATGATAGTCAGGGCGGGGTGGGGCGAGAGGCTCTTGGTGCCACTCACAAATGAGTGAGCCTAGTGAGTGAAGCGATCCATTGCGGCAAGCGGGTGATGGGAAGGAAACTGAGGTCTCTGCTATGCAATACAGGAAAGAAGGGAGAGAAGAGATGGTGAGCGCACCCCCAAGCTCCTGCCTGCTGGCCCCTGCCGGATCAACCATGAGAATGTCTTAATGGTTCCATAATTAGAGCTATGGGACCTTGAAAGAGAAACGTGCTCGCTCGCTCCTATTTCAACTTACGTAAGCACGAAAGAAATTCGTTGCTGCTGATTGTGCCTTTTTCATGAGCATACAGTGATGAGATGCAATGCAACGCGCGCAACGAGCAAGCACATACCCAAGGCTAACCAGGAGCAAGTGAAAGATGATGCCACACCAGCACCATGGTTGCACTTTGGTGATTGCCAACACAAAGCATAAAAAATATGAGATAACAACTATACCAAGCACTCGCTTAAGGAAGATACTCGAGAGACTTACAGGTGCTTGAGTGAAGTAAGCGCAGAGAGAGAGAAAGGGAGATCTCCAGCAGTCAGGTTGAGACTCATGAGAGCGCTGAGGAGAAGTGAGGATGGAAGAGAGAGAGGCAGGCATGCAGGAGAGACGGTGAAAGACACTGGTAAAGTGGACAGACGGTAGTTGGGGAGCAAACAGAATGTGAGCGAGTGAGGAGGTGTGAATGAAGCACGGGCAAGTGCTGTGTTCAATGTGCAGGTGTGAATGAAGCACGGGCGAGGGGCAGCAGCAGGTAGCGAGCCCCTTGGATGTGCTGCGATCTGCAGGGGGACTTAAATCCATGAACTATGCTGCTGGACTGACCGTTGCACGCTGAATAGGAACATGTGTTAGCAGAGAAAGAGGGGATGGCAGATAAGGATGAGTGAGAGGGGAGGGGAAGACGGGTAAGTGGGGGGTGAGAGGGGAGGCGAAGGCGGGTAGGAAAGAGTGAGAGGGGATGAAAGGCGGGTAGAAATGAGTGAGAATAGGTAGAGATGAGTTGATTCAGAGGGAAGGGGAGGGCGGGTAGGGATGAGTTAGATTAAGGGAAAAGGCGGGCTAGGAAGAATCGAAGCATACAGGTTCTGGAGGCGAGTGAGTGGAGCGAGACAGGAGAGGTCGTCCACAGAGCCTTGCATCACAGGGAAAGGCAAGTACGGCTGAATGGATAGAGGACTGCGAGAGCGACAGATGGCAGGGTGAAAGTAGGCGGGCCAGGGGGTGGAGTGATTAGCTTTCTGTGGGCTGCGTGTTGCCCATGGCGTAAAAGGGCGCCACAGTAGAACCATCGCGCAGGAGGCATTTGATAATTCTCAAATTGCAGCAGTAGTCACAGCAGAAACGGTGGAGCAGAAGCCCCATTTGGGTGGGTGCATGCAGCAGTGAGCACGTGGAATTGAGCATGTTAGGAGAATAGAAGGCGGTGAGCTGCGGTAAGGAAGGTGGAGTGCGAGCTGCGGCATGGAAGGTGTGCACACACGGACGGCCTCGTCGTCACATGAGCTGCCCTGCAGCACTGCACTGTGTGCTTCAGAACCATGTGGTTCGCATCACATCAGCTAGGCATGAGCAGGGGGCGAACTCGAACATGTTCGTGTTCGCCCCCTGACGAACATGGCCTTCTGCCGAACCGAACAGTGTTCGGTTCGGCGAACGACTTGAGTGAAAATAGGTGTTCGCCGTTCGCCCTAGGAGGAGAACGAATTGCTGCAACAGGCGAACACGAACATGTTCGTGGCGAACATGTTCGTGTTCGCCCAGGGGGAAATTCAATATAGAGTAAAATTCAAATCGTCGCACATTCTCTCCCCCCACCTCCCAAGCCAGTCCCGCCCTGCTTCATCCATCTAGTGCCAGCGTGCAACGGCGAAATGCTAGATCCGCACTTAAGCAGCGGCGAAATGCTAGATCCGCACTTAAGCAACGGCGAAATGCTAGATCTGCACTTAAGCAACGGCGAAATGCTCGATCCGCACTTAAGCAACGGCGAAATGCTAGATCCGCACTTAAGCAACGGTGAAATGCTCGATCCGCACTTAAGCAACGGCGAAATGCTCGATCCGCACTTAAACAACGGCGAAATGCTCGATCCGCACTTAAGCAACGGCGAACTGCTCGATCTGCACTTAAGCAATGGCAAAATGCTAGATCTGCACTTTACTAACTGCGAAAGGCCAGATCTGAGCCCAAACACCAAGGCCCGCGACCTAAAAATTGGTCGCGGGCCTATTTGTCGACGAACACATTGGTGTTTGTCGAAGGCCCGTGTCGAACACGAACACGTTCGTGTTCGACGCGCCTCGGCGAGCTGAGCCGGGCGAACGGCGAACGTGTTCGGGCGAACACCGAACACGTTCGCCCCGAACAATTTAGGCCAAAAAAAAATCCTGTTCGGTTCGCCTCGAACACGTTCGAGGCGAACCGAACAGGAGTTCGTCATATTGCTCATCCCGAACATCAGCCAGTGATTCTTCCCAAGAGCCTCCCAAGCATCAGGTTCTTGAGGTGCAGTCACACATTTACCTCTGACTGCCTGAGCATACACAGTATTCTGTGCCGTATCCATGTTACTACGCTGCTACAGCTTCTGCAAATATGTTGATGGCGATTCACACACATCATGCATGCACCATGGCATTCTCCATGGCATGCACCAGCAGGCAGCAAGAGCCCCATTCCATTCATCCCCGTCAGTCTCACTCTATTGGATTTAGATGGCCGTTGAGGTATCTATAAGGAAGGCGGTCATCCGACTCAATCCCAATGTGCCTGCATGTTGGGGGCAGTGCAGAGAGAGGGAAAGGGAGTTTACATGCTTGCAACGGACAGGTGCGCTACGAAAGAAAGGGGAGCACCGGCTAGGAAGTGGGGAGGGCACAAAACAAAGTGTCAACATGAGGTTCAAACAACATGCTTGCAAGCTTGGGGGTGGAAGAGGACAGGGGGGAGATTTAGGAAGGCAAGGAAGGAGGTTGGGGGAGGTGAGGGAAGAAATACAGAGATTGGAGTGCAGTGAGGCGACTGATGCTGCCAGGGAGACTTCCACTGAGTTTCAGGCCCTGGAGGTTACTGGGATGGGATGCATACGAGTTGGTGCACAGAAGAACGTGCCAGTAGGGGAAAATGTTCATTGGCACTCTAATAGATAAGATTGAATTTCGGAAATTGGTAAAGTAGGGTGCATGCTCCATAACAAAAAGAAAGAAAGAAAGGCAAGAATGAAAGCACTCTCCATAGCCGCGAGATGAACTGCCCCCGTCGGCCACGCTAGACACGTGATGGAATCCCGGATTCTCATTCTGCTTCAGGGTGACAAGGGCAGCAGGTGCACGCCAGGATGATGCTTCATCATGCCCTGTTGCCTTGCCTTGACACTAGAACCCCCTCTTACAGGTACTGCAGGCTCTTGGCATTGCTGATGGTTTCCGGGATGGATCCTCTGAAGTCGGTATGGCTCAGGTCTCTGGTGTGTGCCATGGCAACCGAGTGGGTGGGGGAGTACGCACACCTCACATGTGGGAGAGAGCGATGGGAGAGAGCGACAACCAAGGGAAACTGATGATGTAAGCCAACCATGGACTAGACTCGAACGATTAAGATAGGTTTATAGGCAAGAAGGTGCAATGGTGGAACGGAAAGCAGCTGCGTACACATATTGCAACTCGGGGAATTGGCCGAGAATCTCCAAGCTCCCACCGAAGCGATTGAAAGAAAGATCCCTACAGAGTGGCGTGCAATGTAATGCAAGAGTGCAGGGTGACTACACGTCATATACGAGAAGCGAATCCCAAGGGATTGAGAGCTCCGAAGCCCTTTTCCCCTTTGAGCTTCGAGGGTTTGCAGATGTTGGAAAATAAACTAGTAGCACCTATGCAGCGGAAATGCGACAGAAGGTAAAAACGAGAGATACACAGGAACTTCCGACTGTGTGCGATGCATGATACATACAAGGATCTTTCTAGATCACCAGCACACGTGTTTCAGCGCACCCACGACAACCCATTCTCTGGACCTTCAAGCACCCCTACGGCCATCCTGGTGCCCCCCCCCCCCCAACAATGGTATGCACTGACAGTTTCTGAAGCGCAGAGAGGGCTGTGATGTCTGCTGGCACGTCGGGATACGAATCAAAAGAAAAGCGTGAGGACCTACATTACATATCATACGATGTGAGATGGAAAAAAGAAAGAAGGAAAGAAGGGAAGAAAGAAAGGAGGAAGGGAGGAAGGGAGGAAGGGAGGAAGGGAGGAAGGGAGGAAGGGAGGAAGGGAAGAAGGGAGGAAAGGAGGAAAGGAAGGAAAGAAGGAAGGAAAGAAGGAGGGAAAGAAGGAAGGAAAGAAGGAAAGAAAGAAGGGAAGGAAAGAAGGGAAGAAAGAAGGGAATAAAGAAGGGAATAAAGAAGGGAATAAAGAAGTAAAGAAAGAAGGAAAGAAAGAAGGAAAGAAAGAAGGAAAGAAAGAAGGAAAGGAAGAAGGAAAGGAAGAAAGAAAGGAAGAAGGAAAGGAAGGAAAGAAACAAGGAAAGAAACAAGGAAAGAAACAAGGAAAGAAAGAAGGAAAGAAAGAAAGAAGTGGATGGTTGTACGATGTCACATGCAAACGCATGCAAGCTCGCTCCAGGTCGGGTCAGTTGTCTAGGGTTCCTCGACCCAGCCGGGTCGGGTCGGGATCACGGATCCGGTCGGTCCATGATCCAACATTAGGGTCAAACATCGGGTCAAGGCAACCCGTCGGGATGGGAGTAAGAGCTAGCGGGAGTGGATTAGCGAGCGGGCGAAATCGCCGATCAGTTCGAACAGAACAGGCCCGACAGGTCGGGTTGGCTTCCCCGGGTCAACCAGACTAGTATCCGCCTCGTCTCAAGCAAAACGGGTTGGTTCGGTTCAAGTCGTGTCGTTGCTTACCAACACGTTCCCATGGCATGGCCATCCACCCTTGCGGTGCTGCCTCTCTTCCATTGAAGTACAGGCCTGGTAGGATCATACTAGGTTTGGGAACCCTAACTACAATGTAGCTCGAACATTCTAGATTGGCTCCGTCAGCAGAGCACAAACACACTAGCCAGTACCAAAGCGATACATTCCTCCTACTAGTTCACATTTGTTAGGTTCGGCAAGTATGGTCCGTACGAGATAACCCGAATAGCATGTATTTTCATTGCAGAGACTGTACATACACCTCGGACGAGGGCACGAAGTTCCTACTACATGGTTCGCAACACCCAACCCCTCGATAATTGTTTTAGGATGTATCATCCATCATGCCAAACAGCCCTTCTATACCAACTCCTTCCTTCCCCCTATCCCCATCCCCACTTACCTCCTCCCCCCATGTACCCGCTACTCCTTTTCCAGTCTATATAGCAAGGTCTCATGACAAAACTTACAGCTCAGTAACCATGCCGTCTTGGTTACACTTGACACGCGCATATCCGCCCTCCCAATCACAGAACACGCTTGACGCTAGGTTCAGGGCCAGAAGCAATTGCACTGGGGGCAAGGTAGACGAGGTGATTTTTGGGGGATGCAAAGGCAGGACGAAGGGGATGAGCATGGCTTGCCAGCCGTCAGGTGACTGTTGGGCGGCGACAAGAACTGGTCGCCTGGCTAGGCATCTCCACGTTCTGCTGTACCCCGAAGTGGGAGAAGGGGAGCGACATTTGTGGCAAGAGTAATAAGCAAGGACCCCTTGAAATCTGCATTCGGAATGGCCTGCTGTTAGATTAGACGATCATCATATAGGAGAGCAAGAAATTCTGCTACGGTTTGAGCGGCCCAGCCGCCTTCGGCGACAAAAAAAACACTCACATTGTGAAGGTTGGAGCTTGATGCGCGCCTGACTCGGCGTTACAGACGCAGCCGCCTGGCGCGGGCGACGACTCGTCGGAGGCAAGCGAGGCATCGCGGAAAAGACCCGTCCGATACGCTGTCGCTGGCCATCCGCCACGCGGTAGGCACTACTCGCAGCGGCGGAAGCGAGAAGCATGACGACGACCAGCACGCCGCAGACAAAGTAGAGAGGGACGAACGCCGGGTTTCGCGCCATCATGACAGTGGAAAGAAAGAGAGAGAGAGAGAGAGACGCGGCTTGCCAGAAAACAAGGGCGAAAATGCAAAAAGACTTGCTCCAGTTCAGACGAAGGTTTCATTATCGGCGAGGTCAGTGCGTTCGTCCCTTCTTCATCTTGTACAGGTCTCGGTTTAAACAGTGGATTTTGATTACCGTTGTGCACCGTCTGGAAATGTCTTCCATACGATGGAACCGTAAATGAATGCAGGACGACTCGCTGACCTCGCCCTGATAGAAAACTAACAATATATGTTTCGGCGTGAAAGCAGATACAGCTGTAGATTTCGCTGGATTGGAGCAGTACTCTAAGGAATTTTCTCGATATTCCTTAGCGCACCCTGCAACATCGCGTACAGCAACAGCCGTTGTTCGCCCGTTACTGCTAACGGGGCTTCGCCGACTTCGCGTGCACTGTTTCACCAAACCTCGCACTGCTGGCCTGACCGTGTCGGCCTACGCTTCGGGACTAGTCCGAGCCTCGCTTCCAGCGTAGCACTAGCTAGCTCGCACGCACCGCATTACCGTTTGCATGTTTCGCGTATAAATGTTCGCTCATGCCTTCGCTCACATTTTGTACTCGTTTGACACCTTAGTGCAATTCTCGCTACTTCGATTCATTGCACCCGTAACACTTGGTATCAGAGCCTCTTTCCTTTCGGACCGCGCATCTCCGCACCCCAGGAAATCAACTTTTGATTTTTCACTCGAAGGGACTCACGTACCTTAGCACCTAGGAGCCGCTGTCCTCGTGTTCTCTCGTAAACGCGTGCAGCCACGATTGCGCCTAGACTAAGACGAGCCGACGCCCTTCGAAATGGCTGAACATATCGACGTCACGACTCTCACGCAGGAGCACTTGAACGATCTGCTGCGACAAATCCGCGAGAGCGCCGAGGAAATCGCAACGCTGACGGCAGAACGCTCGTCCCTGCAAAACGACCTCACACGAGCACAATCCCAAGCACCTGGCACTCCGATTCAGCCCGCACCACAGACATCACAGCACGGAAGTGTGGGGCAACCCGCGAGCGCCGCAAGTGATGGCGTCGTCCACCATGACGGAGACGACGACCACGGCACGACACACCCCGACGCGACGAATGCGGCCAGGACTCAGCCTCGAGTCACGATCTCAGTGCCGGCCGGCGAATCAGCTCTTTCGTCGCCGATGCCGCTAAAGCCGCAGCGTCCGCCATGCTTTGACCCAAGTCAGCGGGGTGGTCCTACCGTTCAGGCGTGGCTCTTCACGTTGAACGTTTTCTTCGACGCGAACTACGTCTCGGAGGATACGGCGAAGATTCGCTACGCCGTGTCGTTGCTGCGAGGACCCGCCATGGACTGGTGGCGCGTCATCGTCACGAAGCCGGTGGACTACGCGACTCTACCGACACGGGAAGGACAAACCAGACCCTGGGCGCCGTCGTATTTCGTGGAGGTGCCCCAGTATCGCACATGGGACGCGGGGTGCGCAGGTCTGCGCACTCGTTTCGGGCCAATCGCGGCTTCGATCGCCGCGCGACAGAAGCTCCGCACTTGGCGCCAACTCGGTTCCGTCCAAGATTACATGAGCGGATTTCTGGCGCTATGCGAGCAGGTGGGATATATGCACGAGAGCGAGCGCATCGGCCGCTACATCGGCGGCCTGAAGCAGGACATCGCTCAGGAAATCCAGCTTCGCGGCGTCACCGATTTTCAAGAAATTCTCGCTATGGCGGAGAAACTCGATTTCTTCCGCCGACCGAGACCGGGGTCCTACGGAAGCAGCCATTGGGGACATCGGCCTCGTGGGACGAACGAGGGCGCCACGATACGTGCCGTCGCCGCAAATGCCGTTGCCGCACCGTTCAAAGGGCGCTGCTTTACGTGCAATCGGCCGGGACATCGCAAGAGCGAATGCCCGGAAAACGCTAAGGGAAAGGGGGAAGCTGAGCAGCAGAAACAGACCAAGCAGCAGGGAAACGCTGGGAGTCAGTAGCAGACGGGCCCTCTACTGACAGGTCACGCCGCTCGCCCGACCCAACCGACCCTCACCGAGTGATTGTGCCGGTTCACGCAATCGACCACACCCGGCCGAATAAGGAGGGTACTACGGTAGACAGCCCCATACTGCTTAGTGGGAAAATCGGGACGGACTTAGTAAAAATCTTCGTAGACGGGGGAGCCAGCCACAGCCTCATCAACACTGCCACAGCACGAAAACTGCGATTGCCACTGGACAGATGTTTACCTGAGATCGACGCAAGACTGGTAGACGGCACGCCGCTGGCGATACGGGAACCGTAGACCGGGTTCGGATTCGATGTGGGGGTAACTTCACGTGTAGCCAGGAAATGCTCGCAACGACCCTCGATGGAACCGATATCTTACTCGGGCGTGATTGGCTGCGACGACACAATCCGCGAATCGACGACGGGTGACTTCACCGTGCGAGTGAACGGTAACAACATCGCCCTACCTCGCTGGGGCTCGCCTGAGTCTTCGTCGGTGCGTGTCAACGCGATCACGATGAAACGCGCCGTAGCGGCAGGAGCTGACGTGTACGCGGTCGACATTCGGGAAGTCGAGGCAGCAGACAAAGGAGGGGATTTACAGAAACTGCTGGCCGACGTATCGAGTGATCTGGCAGCACTGATGAAGCAGTACAGCGACATTTTCCTGGATGATTTACCGACGGGACTGCCACCTCAGCGACCGCACGACCACAGGATAGAGTTAGAACCGGGGGCACAGCCAACAGTACAGCGACAGTTTCGACTGACCCAGCCCGAACTGGACGAACAGAGGAAGCAACTCGATTACCTGCTCGAGAAGGAATTCATTCGCCCTAGTTCGTCGCCTTTCGCAGCACCGATACTGTTCACACCGAAAAAAGACGGGGGATTTCGCATGTGCATATACTACAGAGCACTGAACAGGGTTACCATCAAATCCCGTTACCCCATCCCGCGAGCCGACGAACTGATCGACCAACTGCGCACAGCCCGGGTTTTCTCGAAAATCGACCTCCGAGGGGGTTACCACCAGATTCGCGTCAACCCGCCCGAGTGCCCTAAGACCGCATTTCACACACGCTACGGATCCTTCGAATACACAGTCATGCCCTTCGGACTGACCAACGCCCCCGCCACTTTTCAAATGACCATGAACGAAGCTTTCCGCCCGCTCTTAGATAAGTGCGTCATAGTATACCTGGACGACATCCTGATTTATAGCCCTGACAGAGCACAGCACTTACAGGACATCGAAGCAGTTTTTAAAATACTGAGTGCAAACCGCCTACTGACAAAAGCGTCTAAGTGTGAATTTTTACAGGACCGCCTGGAGTTTTTGGGACACGTTATTTCAGCCGCAGGAGTGGAAATAGACCCGAAGAAAATTGCGACGATTCAAGCATGGCACGCGCCGACCAACTTGACCGAGTTGCAGAGTTTTCTGGGGTTTGTCAACTACGTGCGCCGGTTCGTCCCCGACATGGCGAAGCTGACTGCCCCGTTGACCGACCTGCTGAGGAAGGGGGTTGAGTACACGTGGGGGGAGAAAGAGCAAGCTGCCTTCTCGGCCCTCAAAAACATTTTGTGCTCACCGCCCGTGCTTCACATCGCAGATCCACACCGTCCGTTCGAGCTCGTCACTGACGCAAGTGACATCGCTATGGGAGCAGTACTGTTGCAGGATTTCGGGAACGGCCTCCAGCTAATCGCGTACGAGTCCCGCAAACTGCACCCGCCCGAACGCAACTACCCGATACACGACCGCGAAATGTTGGCGATCGTGCACGCGTTCAAGGTTTGGCGGTGTTACCTGACTGGCGCCGACGTGACAGTACGGACAGACCACCGATCACTACAGTACTTACGCGCCCAACCAAATCTCAATCCGCGACAAATTCGCTGGCTGGACTACCTCGAGTCCAACTTCCACTACACGGTTACGTACAAGAAAGGCGCATCCAACATCGCCGACGCACTCACCCGCCCTACCGCCCAACTCCACGCCATCCTACTCGCCCAGACCAACCCGCTTTTAACAGGCCTATTCACCCACGGATACCGCACCGACCCATTTTTCACGACCGGAAATTCATAGCAACTGGCAGAAGCTAAAGGAGTTTATTACGTAAAAACAGGCACCAACCGCATCTGGGTACCCGCGTACTCACTACTGAGGGAGCTGCTACTGCAGGAGGCACACGACGGAATTACCTCGGGACATTTGGGGTAGAAAAAACGCGACAGCAAATGCAGCGGTATTACTATTGGCCGGAGCTGTTGACCGACATGCAGCAGCACGTGGGCTCGTGCCCCACGTGTCAGGTGATGAAGAGCTCGAGGAAGCGGAAGGCGGGTCAATTGCAGCCGATACCACCGCCCGAGCGCGCCTGGCAGCAGGTTACCATGGACTTCGTCACAGGGTTACCTTC